CATGGAAAGGGTGATCAAGGGCTGGAACAGGCTGCCCAGGGACGTGGCTGAATCACCACCCCTGGAGGTATTTAAAAGCTGTCACTCTAGGGTGCTCAGGGACATGGTGTAGAAGTGCCCTGGTAGATTTAGACAATGACTGGCCCTTAAAGGTCCTTTCCAACCACAGTGAGTCTGTGAACTAGATAAACACATTCAGGCATTGCAGTAAATATTATCTTTGTACTTACGTGGAATATAATTTTTAAATCTTTCCTCTATAGAATAAATATTTTAACCTATACATGCATTCTTATATATTTATGCTTGTGTATGTAAACATATACATCTTTACATCACTATGTGGTTATATATGTACAATTTATACTATATAAAATGTATTATTATCTAGCTAATATTACATATATAAATATATAGGACTGTATATTAGATATGGCTGCTTAAAGATATTTAAAGGCATGCCATATGAAAGCATGTATATATACATGCATTCTTTATAATATGTAATAAAAATATGTTATATGAACTTTGTAGATATTTATGTATTACTTTTGTGTAACAATATGCATATGTATGGTATAAAATATTTTAATAGATTAAGTATACAGTACATGTTGTGTATGTACCCTATGTATCATATAGGTAGTATATATTGTATTATGTAGAGCTATAGGCAGCATTCTATCCATTAATTATATTTAGTATTCAAATCTGTTCATACACATGGGGAAGGCAGCTGGGAAGCACAAGGAAAAACAACCACCCAAACCTATTTACTCAATTAAATGATGCACCATTCAGTCGTCAGATTACTTTTTTTTTTCCAGTCACTCTTTATCCCCTCCGGAATAAAGAGCTGATTGGAAAAAAGGGCAGGGGGGGAAGGACACAAACCCTTCAGATTAAAGAAAAAGCTTAAGGTGTTTTAATGCAAAGCTCCTCTGGGGCCTTGGGCCCTCCCGTGGTATAAAAGAGGCTTGGCTTTTGGGGAGGGTCACCTGCCTCAGCTCGGCCCCGTGCTGGGGCTGCAGCAGAAGGCGGATGGACGCCTCCAACAGCTCACAGGATCCCCCAGCTAACAGCACCCCGGGGCCCTTCGATGGCCCCCAGTGGCCCCACCAGGCCCCGCGGGGCGTGTACCTGTCGGTGGCCGTGCTGATGGGCGTCGTCGTGGTGTCGGCCTCGGTGGTGAACGGCTTGGTCATCCTGGTTTCCATCAGGCACAGGAAGCTGCGTTCTCCCCTGAACTACATCCTGGTGAACCTGGCCGTGGCCGACCTGCTGGTGACGCTCTGCGGCAGCTCCGTCAGCTTCTCCAACAACATCAACGGCTTCTTCGTGTTCGGCAAGCGCATGTGTGAGCTGGAGGGATTCATGGTCTCCCTGACAGGTAAGGGCACGAGCCATGAGACCCGTCTCGTTCTTTGGTGCTGTTGTGTTCAGCAGAGAAGCTTTGGGCTACGTTCCAGCAGCTTGCTGCCTCTGCTAAAGGCAGTGCTTTCATGCATGATGTAGAACTTGTGTTTCTTCAGCTGTTCTTCAGGGCAGGGAAGGGTCAAGTAGATGGTTGGCTGTGCCAGGTCACCACACATTCTGTCTTGGTCTTCATAAGGTGGGAAATGTCACCTAGGCACCCATGCTCTTCATGGGTGCTGGCTGCTCTGTCAGCACATGGATGGTTTGTGTGCTCCCGAAATGTGAAACTGCACAAAACCTGTTGAGGACACTCTAGTGGAGAAACTGTGGTCAAACCCACGATGTGTCACAGACACCCAATTCTAAACCTCAGTTTTAAGGGCCAAATATCCTTGCAGCTATCCCTGCCATAAAACCATCTGACTTCTTGTTGCAACAAGATCTACTTCAACGGCTCTTACTCATCATCTGCCACATCCCAGTGTGGGCAGCAGAGCAGGTGAGAGCCTGTTCCTAAGCCCCAGAGCCTCCTCTCCACAGGCATCGTGGGGCTGTGGTCCCTGGCCATCCTGGCCTTCGAGAGGTACGTTGTGGTCTGCAGGCCCCTGGGAGACTTTCGGCTCAAGCACCGGCACGCCGTCAGCGGCTGCGCCTTCACCTGGACCTGGTCACTGCTCTGGACAACCCCACCGCTCATGGGCTGGAGCAGCTACGTGCCTGAAGGTAGGGGAGATGTGCTTCAGACTCCACAGCATCATCTGCTCGCATATTGTTTCTAGCCCAACCCCTGCAGTGAGTGCAAATTTGATCCACTGTCTTAGTTTAAAACCATCACCCCTTGTCCTAACCACAAACACCAACACCTCCTTGCTTGCTTAGTCAGAAATCCTCTCTCAGAGGTTGTTCTTCAGAAGTGACCCACTGCATGACATGCTGTAGCCTTTTGCACACATGCATCATTTTATTGAATTGAATTTAACTGAACTTAATTGTTCCAGGTCTGAGAACCTCTTGTGGGCCCAACTGGTACACTGGTGGCAGCAACAACAACAGCTACATCCTGGCCTTGTTTGTTACCTGCTTCGTGATGCCCCTCAGCCTGATTCTCTTCTCCTACACCAACCTGCTGATGACCCTGCGATGGGTGAGTGCGGCGAGTGTGGCTGAGTGAATGGTCTTCCACTCACAAGGCTCCTGGTGAGGCTCATTTCCACTGGGACAAAGAGCCTCGTGGCAGGTTCTTGTGACAGCTGATGGAGCTGCCATCTCCTGGCGCTGACGTGGGGTGATCTAAGGGATGGAAGAGCTGTTGGAGGTTGTTAACATGAGTCTCTCCCTCTCCAACACGCGGTGCAGGCCGCGGCACAGCAGCAGGAGTCGGACACCACGCAGCAGGCGGAGCGGGAGGTGACGCGCATGGTGATCACCATGGTGGTGGCCTTCCTCATCTGCTGGCTGCCCTACACCACCTTTGCCCTCGTGGTGGCCACCAACAAGGACATCGTCATCCAGCCGGCTCTCGCCTCCCTGCCCTCCTACTTCTCCAAGACCGCCACGGTTTACAATCCAATCATCTACGTCTTCATGAACAAACAGGTGAGGGAAAGCCATGAGTTAATGAAGCCTCAGCATCACTGGGGCTTCTGGAGAACAACTTAATGGCCTCATAAAATGTAGAGGAAACATCTATCCTGTCTGGAAGAGTACAAGCAGGCTTGATGCGGGAGTTGCTGTGTTTGGCAGGGTTTAGGGGAATAAAATGGAAAGGGAGGGAGAAGCCTCTGAGCCCGAACAAAAGCTCATTTTCTGCTTCCATGATTTTATGGGGTCAAGCAACTTAATTTTAGATCACAAACCTCTCACTCAACACACAAAACAAACGGAATGAAACGTTTATTGTTAATAAGCTGCCAGAATCTGCAAAGAGTTAGGCTAGGAACTAATACAGATCTCATCCAAAACAGAACAAGCATCCAGCCCTCAGCCTCTGCCACCAGATCTTGAGCTGGACATCAGCTTTCTGCCACGACCTGTAACCAGTGTTCTCCCTGCCCAGTTTCAGGGCTGCCTGCTGAAGATGGTGTGCTGTGGTCACCACCCCTGCGGGATGGGAGAAACTGCCCCGGGAGCCCCCGGCCCCCGCGCAGACGGGCTGAGGAATAAGGTGACACCATCTGCCCCTGTGTAACTGCTGCCAGACCCTGCCTGCTCCAGGGTCTGTGCCACCCAGCCTTGCCCACGGGCACAGGGCAGGGCCTGGTGCTGTAGCTGCTCCCCTTAAATAACTTCTGTTTTGCTCTCCTGAGGGAACACCCCTCCCCTCCTGCCCCTCACCTCAGGGAATCAGGAGTCTTTTCAGAGCAAGGAAAACAAGTGATTTTTCCTCAGTGCAAAGCATCCCAAGCTCCTGTTCAGCCCCTGAGCCAGGCTGGACACGGTCTGGCTCTGGGGCCAGCTCCAGAGCAGCCTGTAGGCCAGAGCTGCACGTTCAGCACCCCTGGACAGACCGAGTCCTACTTCAGTGCTCCATCTCGCTGTGAAGTCTGAGGTCAGGTTGTGAAACTGGCCCCAATCCAGCCCGTGTGTGTAAGTGCAGGCTGTGTTAATAAACATTAATGACCACTGACAATTTCACATGCATCTGTTTTATCAGCTGATGGCAGGTTCCACAGAAAACCTTTCACCTCCCACTACTACCTGCGACACTTTTCCTGTGGCAAGTGCCACACAGAGAATCACAGAATCACTGAAGTTGGAAAAGACTTCTAGTATCATCAAGTAACGGATGGCAAGCAAAACACACAGCTCAGATGCAAAGTTACACATTTTATTTATATTAAAGGCAAAATGAGAGGTCTAAAATCCACTGATTTCCCAGCAAAGGTGAAAAACCAGGTTGTAAGAGGCCCTGGGGGCCCTGAGGACAAGGCACAGCAGAGCCACTGGTGCCCAAATGGCCGGGACACGTTTATCTACACCAGCTACAGCTACACTTCTGGGCTGCAATGCAGTTTATGTGATTTAGGAGCCTTGGAGAAGGCTCTGAAGCACCAGGTTTAGGTAACACCGCTGACAGCAGCCCCCCGAGACTGTTTGATTAAATCCCTTGTTCTTTAAAAAATGCTACGAGAGGTTTCTTTGCCTTCATAGTTAATTGTCTTTCAAATTTTGATTCTGAACACTTAAATTGCTTTCAAAACAAGCCCGATCCACAGTCACACCATTCAAAGGTTCACCCTTCCCTCTGCAGTTTTGTTTCTATCACGCATCGGCCACAGGGACGCTCCCCACACATGCCTTGCTGCTCTCCTCCTCCCACAGCTTCTGCAGGGGCAGCAAACCCATGGAGGAGTCAGAGGGAAGCGATGCTCCAAGTTGCTCATCACCTCAGTAAATTGCCTTGCTAGCACACAGTCCACGGCCTGGTGACAGGCAGCCAGAAAGGCAATTTGGACTGGCACCAGAGCTGATGAGATCTGAAGACAGAGGGGTTTCACTCTAGCTGAGATTCTCTGCTCCAAATCAACAGTAAAACAAAAATCCCCCAAGCCAAGAGCAGGCAGATGACATGCACATAGGAGCTGAAATGCAGTTGCTCAGAGAATAAACATTTGTTTTTCTTCTCACTCATCTTAGCTCAAACTTACTGCAGGGTCCTGCCAGGGCCTCCAGGGAAACACAGCCCCCCCGGGCAGCGCTGGGTCCCCCCCTCCAGCCTCACCCCATCCCTCCACCTCCCTCTGGTGGCTCACCCAAGCAGCTCAGAGAGGAATTAGAACAGCTCAGTATCACCGTTTTAATTTAATTAATTGGCCTTTCATTCTCTGGGAAGCTGAAAAGCAGCATTACATGGGCCCCCTCTGATCTTCTCTGCTGTCTTTCACTGGTCCTCGTTTAATTGTTCTTGTTAATTACAGTTTTTGTGTCCACCTTTTATGTTATCAGAATGATTTACATTCATGCTAAAACTAAATCTGGAAAAGTACAAGCTGCTGAAAAACTGCCACCTCTGACCACTGTGTTCTGGCCTCGATAAGGAGAGCAGACAGGCCACAGGGCTACCTGAAAGGCTCTCTGCCAACAGAAATAAAATTTCTCTCCATTAAGATTAAAAGAAGATAGGGAAATGGTTCACAGCCTGCCCACCATTTGGTCTGACAGATAAAATGGAAAAAGAAATCCAAGAAGCCAAGGTGTGTCTACACTACCACAACACAATTAAGTGGGGAGAAGATTTTTGTTTTCTTTATCTCTTCTGAAGAATGCTCCCCAAGTCTGCAGCACCTTTCCTGGAGTAGCTCTGTCTACTTGTATAAATACATAGTCTGAGGATGGGAAACATCATTAATAACAAGTAAAAAAAAAAAAACAACCAAAAAAAGAACCCCTCAAAAGAACCTAGAAACCAGAAAAAGAACCACATGGCAGCACAGTAACCTTGGAAACTTTTATTAGCATTGTTAAACCAAATTAACTCACAGTTACAGACAGGCAGCATTCCCCAGTGTCTGGTGGAAAGGGACACGGGACAATCTTCACACCTCCTGCACCTGAACAATATTTCTCACAGGAACAGTTACATATGGAGTTGCTGTGCCCATCAAACATCCTGATCCAAAGCTCAGTTACATCCAGGGACATGAGGCCTAACAGAAGCGTGGTTTAACTGAACACCAACAGGTATCTCTGTACAACTAACCAGATTTTCTTTCCCATATTCTTGTCCAATGCTGGCAGGGAACGTATTGCTGCACTTGCAGTCTCTGGAGAACACTGCCTTTTTCTCATTAGCTTTTTACACAGCAATTAATCCCCTTAATCAGTCAAATCAGTTCAACACTAGATCACAAAAGCACTAAGAAAAGAGAAAACAAGAAATTACCTTGTTAAATTTAATGAGCAAGGAAAAAACATCCAGTAGATGGGTTCTAACAGTGCTCCACACTCCAGCGTGGAAACATTTCAGTGCCCGAGCAGCAGCAGGAGTCGACAGAATCACAAACATTTTGTCTGCAACAGTGAAACCACACAAAGCAACAGAGCAAGAAATTATTTTGCTTATGAAAGCGTCCTGTGCAGAAAATAACCCATAAGGATGTTCCATGCAGGAAACAGTTCAGTTCTGTGACATTACTGATGCTGCCTTTATGTGTAACGATGGCCTAAATCCAGCACAAACTGTATTGCGGCACAGCACAGCATTAGATTCTCTGCTCTTGCTGCTGCAGCTGAAGGAAGTCAGAGCTTTACACTTGTTTCTGTGGCCAAAAGGCTGGCAGTTCACAGGCTGTACACCCAAAAGAAGCAGGAAGCAGGTGATACATTAGAACTTAGCCACTGTCCATTTTAATCATTCAGGAGAGCTCTGGTCCAAAACTATTATCCTGTAAGAAAAAAAAAGTGACATGGTTGGTTTTTTCTTATATCAAGCTACAAGCTGAAGGGAATGGGATCTCATAGTGCCCCTTCCACCTCCTCAGTGTGGAAATCAAGAAGCTGTCTCATGCAGCCAGAGGCTGCAGTTTCTACCAGCAGCAGTGTCACCCCAGAGAGCTCACCTGAAGGGTGAAGATGCAGACAGCAGGCTCTGGAAGTGGGGTTTCTGATCCTCAGGACGTGTGCCTAAAAAGCCATGGAAATGCAGCTCAGAACCAAGGAGGTCACACACAGCCACACAGCACTGCCCAGAGAAAGCTCTGGCTTCATCAGCACAGGGCAGCATGCTGCAGATCCCTCTGCTAGGAGCACCAAGCTGCACTTGTGCTCAGAAACCAGCCCCAACTCTGTTGCTGTGGGTTCCCACACAGAACCCTCTTTGTGATCAGAAATCAGGCTGTCTTCAAAACCTGAAGGCCAGTCCCTACCAGTTTAGTTCTTCCAGAATTCTGACAGAAAATAGGGTCACACAGGCTCACGCTCTGCAAATAACAAGCAAAATGATGCTACCTCCAGATCTCTACGTTTAAAAATTACCATCGAGATTTCAAAAAGTAACTGGTGACTTGAGACATTTCAACCTTTGGGTGCCTAACTGGCAGCCAAAGAGCTGTGTGCTGTACCAGTGTGAAATGCCCACAACACTGAACATCAGTCTCCTTTAGGTCACTCTGGGCTACACACTGAAAAAATCATTCTCTCTGAAAATGAAGGGCTACCACCTTTTTCTTTCCAGACAAAACACCAGTTCTGTCCCATTTTTTGCTTGGCACTAAATGCCCATTAACTTAATGCAAGTATGTCAGCCCTCTGCCTGTAACCAGAAACATCTTTGAGAAATGCTGAAAATGGGAACCTGTTACTTTAGCTGTACAATACCAGTCAGCTTTGAGAGCTCCTAATGGAGATTTGGACTCACAGAACAAACATTTATTTTATCTTGTGTCTTCCTCCTTACTTCTCATTTCTATTAAAGGAAAGCCAGGGGAGATGAGCCTGAAACAGATGTTTAAGGGACTAGACAGCAGCAGCACAGACATCCCAGGTACAGACCAAACCATACCAGTAGTACTCAGAGTCCTCACGGCGTATGTAGGTGCCTAAGTCAGAGAGGCTGAGCACACACCAGGACACTGAACTACCAGCTGCCTGCCAGTGCCTCCCAGTTAGTGGAGGAAACCACACTCTCACTGTGACAGACACTCTGCAACTCCAGCCAATGCTCCATGATGCCTTCAGGCTTAACTGTCCCCCAAATCAGAAAATTTTCAAGTGTCTCTGCAGAGTTTAAGTCTGCAGCAGCTTGCTCTCCTTTAAAAGCACAGGGTAGAAACAGCACCCAGATGGGGGAAATCAAGAGAAGTAGAAAAGCCCCAGCCTGTGGAAGCTTGACAAATTCAGTGCTGTCACCAATGTGATACTGCCCAGCATGCATCCCGTGGCTCTGCAGTCGAAGAGGACCTGCTGAGCTCCCTGCACAGCTCTCCGGCGCTCTGCCTCCGGCCCTGGCTCCTCCTTCCTCCACTCCCTTCTTCCTTCCACCTTCTTCTGCATCTTGCAGACCTGCAGCCCTTGAATGACAGAGTTTTGTGTACCGACACAATCTTTTGTGTTTTCTTTTAGAGAGGATGAATACAGAGCACTCAATCAGAAGCCTCTGGAGTTACCAGATGCCTTTTTGTTTTCACCCTTACCTATAATGGACATCTGCCTGCTCCAGCCCCCAGACAACTGGCCTCTCCCCTCCAAGACTACACAGGGACTCAAACGATTCCATACACAACAGCACAAAGGAAAGGAGTCTAACTACAAGTGTGAATGGGGTTTGGATTGAGCCGTTTACAGGAATGTGGGTCTGCCCTGTCAGCAACACCCTCCTGGTTATCATGACATTTGCCTTCTGTGTTCAATTAAAATAATCCTGATGCCAAACACAGGAATATCTTGTGTTCCTTAATAAGATCTATGTTAGGAATGACTTACGACTACTCACTGGCATTTACTGTGGAGTTGTTCAGTTAGTAGGCTCTGATCTTCAGTTCTAAGAGAAAAAAAGTAACTTGGTCTATGAATATTTTCCTTAAAGTGATATATACATATATGTGACTTTTGTCATTGCCATGACAGTATAACCATCTTCCCAAACTCTTCTTTAAAGTCTTTTCCAAAAATCTTTCATTATTCTGTTCTCTCAAAGTACATTCTTCTCTATCTCAAAACCCCACCATTCTGTTCAATTATCTCTGATTTCTGTGAAAACTATGCTCTGCCTTCCAAGCCCACTATTTGCTTTCCACCTACAGGAAATCATATTAACAAAACATTTTTTTCCCTCTGAATTAAGTATGGAGAGCTCAGATGGATGTCTCCAGGCAAGTTTCCTGACACATTACTCTCTAAGGAGTGACAGCCCATTCTCTGAAAAATCCTGCATAGGTCTGTACACAAAACATAAACAAAATGAATTTATGGACAAAGCAACAATTATCAGCTAACCCAAGAGTGTGTCCCTGAGGTTGTTCTTGGATCTCGTCTCCAGGAACTGCATGGAGCATCCTGTCTAAAACATCATCAAGAGTAGAGTGAGCCCTGTTGAATAAAAGATTAAAACAGATGCTGTAAAATGTAATACTACACATTTAAAAAGAGAACAGTCATAATTATCAAAAGTTCTTTAAAAAGTTGGCTTATTTTAAGCACTGAATCTGGTAACATATATAGGAATCATTATTCTAAATCTTTGTAACTCAAAACCAAACATGCCTTATTGCCCTTTTATCATACCTTTCTGTTTCCTCTGCTAGATTAAATGACTCAATCCATAAACTATGATTTCTCTTCTCATTTCTCTGAGATTCTGTTTTTGACTCTCTGTCTTCCATTTTCATTTGATCCAGAACTATTCACATAAACAGAAAGATTTTAATATCAAAGCTACAGAGGAAGATGATAAAGAAATGAAAATGTGATTTTATTTACTGCACTTGGGAAACTTCCAGCTGTCCACTTCTCAGTTACCCTTTCCTCACTCATCTGATTTTCTCCCAGTTAAGCAAATTCACATTATCTACAGTCAAAGGTGGCCAGTAGCAAGACTTAGATCAATATTTTACTGTAACTCATTTTCAGATTCACAGGACTGAACGTTTTGCTTCATGCTAAAATGAAAGATGCATGTGGAAATTAATCTTTAATCTTTCCCCTTACAATCCCAGATACGGGAGAAAAATCAAAAGAGAACCTGTGGATGTTAGCTTTGTTACCCTACTTAGCAAAATCCAGCCATACCCCCCTCCCAGGACTTATCTCAGTGAGTTCTGTTCCCTACAGCATGTGAATATATTCAGCCACCTTCTGCTAAGCTATGATAAGCAGGAAGCAGTAGGCTGTCACAAAAATGGAGTCTGAAATAGCTGTACTTTATGCAAATACAACAAAACCACCGTGATTGAACAGCAAGCACTACAGGCTGCTGCATTCCTCATCACCTAAAAACAAGATACTCCTGTGAATAAAGTCACAGTAGCTTCTGTCCGCTGGGAAAAGATCTAACAAAGCTGTAGGATAACACAAACAAGTGCCAGCATCCTTCTCAAGTGACTATGCTGTTTAGCTTTTTACAGAATAACTTATGCTCTGCCTTTTTCTTTTTTTTAAACCACTCTTCAGATTCTGACTCATTGGAAAAAAATGCAGAGCCTATAAAGGTTTAGGTTTTTTGCTCCTCTGACATTACTTGCTGTACATCTAAAAATCATTCCCACTTATTACTATTTGCAGTTTCAGAAGCAGAGATTCACTACTGCTATCTTTGGTATCTCTGCAGCAGAACAGGAAATATCATCACCCCAGCGGATGCTGTTCTCTTACACTGTGAGATCAGAGGCACTATTTCACTGTGGTGAACAAGAAACACAGGCACTTAGTGTGCACTGGCCATTTTCTCAACACAACCACCCTCCCGGGATGGAGCCTTCAGCTCTGTTTCACACCAGCTGCCCACCATGTGCACTTTTGTGGGTTTTCTCAGTTGTGTTTGAACACAGCAAACGTTACAGTGGCATAAGAGAAGTAGAAGATTCATTCTGATAGTTGAGGCCTGCAATCCTTCCATGCTATACTGCCACAGACCTTAGAGAATGAACACACAACAGAAAGTGCAAAGGCAGGTGCAGGGGGTTCTCTCTGTGAGAACACTGCATACAGCCTTACCAAGAAAGGAAGAATCCTCTCAAGTTTCAATACCAAGAAAAGCTAAACCCTGAAGTTTCTCATACAGCTGAACGTACAGTGACAAGCTTTCAGAGTAATTCTGCAGCAATGCAAAAGTAATTTTCTATTTATAATCTCTCTGTTAAGACTATTATTAACTAACCATTTACTTGCTCTCCACAGCCGTGCAATCCCTCCTCTTTAAAGTCTTGAGCAATGGAATCTTGCTGCTTTATATATTCTGGTAAAAACAGAGTATTTCTTTATTGATCTAGATACTCTTTCTAAATCGACCCTATACAATCTAAAGTACCATATTACCTTATCCATCCAAATCTGGATGAAAACCTTTAATAATCTATAATTACTTCCTATGTTAATCCTACGAATTGTCTCCAACCATCATTTATTCACTGGATCAGTCTCCACAGGTCCTTCTTTGATAAAGGAGGAAGTAAAAAGATTAGACTCTGTCTGTGCCTCCTTGCTGGAAGAGCACAGGACCTACACACATTTCATTATCCCAATCTCTGGTGTTAGTTTAGGAAGAGCTTATAGATGAATAACCAAAGCAAATTCCTCTGTGACACACACCAGTAAAAACAATGCAGAGTTTTTACTCCATGTTCTGTCTGAAGATGTAAGTGACCACACAAAGAAACATAAATCACTGAGACAAAGCTATGCAAAAATACCTGAGGGGTGTAGCTGTCTGGTTTAAGTTTGTTTTAACAGAGACCACACATTGCTCCAGGACACCTTGGAAACATTCAATCTATGCAAAATTCATCCCAGTGTTAAATTCCATCTGCACTCAATAGTCCAGCTGCTGTCAGCAGCAGCAACTAACCATTACATGAAATGCAGAAACTTCAAGGACTAACTGCCAGTTATTTAGGCTGTTGATGCCTAACTTCCTAATCATTGACCTGACTGCAACTAATTTGGAAGCTCTTGTGTATTTTAATGGTGAATGATTTGGGAGCAATCCTGACTGAACACAGCTGGCAAGGCTCAGACCATTCTGGGTGAAGTGCCTCTTACCAATTTCATCCAGCAGCTCTGGGATTGGTGGAGGCAGCTCATCAATGAAGTTGTCAGATGCCTGTGGGAATGCTGGGATAGAAAAAAACCCACCAACCTCTAGTTAATTAGCAGTGATTAATCCTTAATAACTGTGATGCAGGCTTACATTATGACAGCATCTGGCTGACATATTTCTTTTATCAACCTGCATGAGCCAGGCTCATTCATATCTTATCAAATATCCTTAAATAATTTCATAATGGAAAAACTATTTGAGCCAGACTTGCACACTCAGTTCTCAATCCTGTAGGGCAAATTTTAGGCCAGTAATATTTACACTTCACACAGAGGTTGATTAGAGGTCAGAGCTCTTAGTCTGCAGGTGCAAACAAGAAATCCATAACCTAATTACCCCTAGCAATACACAGTTGTGTGCAAAGCCATTTATCCCTATAAAAAGAGATGCCCAGGAGGAAAAAAATAAAAAGGAGAAGAGCAGAGGAAGTAAAACTCTTACAATTTATTTTCAGATGTCTTTGATTACTGATCATTATGTTTGGGCTGGGGCTAAGTTGAGACTTACCACATGTCTTCCTGGTGCTCCTCAAGGTTGAAGCAACTGCTGGCAACCCATGCTGTGTAAAACCATACAGAATGAAACACAAGATGGTAAATGCTCTTCAATCCTTCCTTTCAACATACTAAATCCAAAATGAGGTAAGGTCTTAATTAAAGCTGTAGCTGACTATTAAATTTTAAAATAAGCTCTTCAATCAGTTCAGAGTATGAAAACAGAGGCAGCACGCAGGTAAGCCATGTGTCAAAAACCTTGCTCAGGCTGCTGTGCACTCATCTTTTGCTGGCCATAAAATACTACACAGCTACACAATCCCTATCTATTTCAACACTCTCTATGGAGAGATGGATGGGAATTCACTAAAAGGCCAGTTCCAACTTCTCTTAAGTTCCCCTTTATTAAATCTTTTTTAAAGCCAGAGACACCTACTCACCAAAAGAACCCCCAAAACCCAAGAATTTGTAACCACAGGCAAGTTCCCCAATGTCCTCCAAACAGAACAGGTGATTCATGCACTTAATCCTAGAATAAGATTTTAGACAAGAGAGTGACCCAATCAAGTATTGCCACAGAGCCAGTTCAGGCAGCACTCCACTGTTCATGGGCTTAATTAATTCCAACTGTCTGCTACACAAAAAGAAAGACACAGACCTAACCTGATGACAATGTTACTGTTCTGGCTGAACAAACTCCAATTTAATCTTTAAACGACCACCCCATCAATGAGTAAAAGTAAGAAAGGCATAAAGACAACTACCTTATGTTTAACTGCTTGAAAAGGCAGTTAAGATAATGCTGTGACTCTGAACACCTTTAGGTCCAAAAAAAGATTACTGGAAATCACTACAGTGACCTTGGAAACAGTCAACTCCAAGACAGAGGACTTTTTGATACAACAAAGTTGATAACATTATGCCAGGTCTGTGCATAAAAAGGACAAACCTAATCCCCTAATACAAGGGCTTTCTGAACATTTACTTGCTTCCCATCTACTAGATGGAAGCTTTCACCTTTGTTTTCTTCCTCAAAGAATCATTGGTGGACTCATTTACATTCGTCCACTAAATTTTGAGAATTCTTCAGTTTCACATGAACACTTACATACTTGAACACACATGCACATGGATTTATCTTCCTTGACGTTTATTTCCCACTTCCACAGACTCAAACCCCTGTAGGTCACAAATCACTTGTGAACTGAGAGTGGTGCAGATAAGCCTCACCAGAAGACCAACTGATCGACCCCCCCCTTCTCCCAGCCAAAACATTCCTCTTCTGCCCAACCATTTTGCAGATGCTTACCAGTCTGGTGTTCCAAGATTATTGGCTCCAGTGCTGGGAAATGATAGGTTTTTTTACAGCCAGGGAAGGGATGGATGGCAGGCAAGGACACTTTGATGGTAGTCAACATTTACACACAATTAGGTGCAAGGAGAAGCCAACCCTTTGTTTAACCAGTGGCATATACTGACTGCTTTGAGATCAATCAGGACATGTCATTGTGTCAACAGATCTGGGATTGTGAAATACTCTCAAAGACCTGCAAGTATTTCTGTGTTTCTCATCTTGCATTTATTTTAAGGAAAAGTATTTTTAAAATATTTTAAGCAATGGCTGGGATAAGGTAAATTTTCTAGACTTACAGGCTCATTCAGTTCAGATGAGCAATCTCCTGGAACAACTGCAGGAATTTCAGTGCTCCCTCCCCCTTCGTAGGCTGTAATGAATGTCCTGGACACTGTGGAGGAGGTCTCTTGAGAAGCACAGAAGGAACAATCTGAAGCTACTTCGTGGTAGTGTTTGTATCTCTCAAAGGCTATTGGAATTTTTTCTTGTGGATTTAAAAAAAGGAAAAAAATATGATAGTAAAGCTGGACATTTTTTGTTTGTTTGTTTTTTAATCCCGGTCACACCTCAACAGAAGCAGAAAAAGGTTTTTTTTTTTTTTGTATGAACAGGCACCTACACAGGAAACTCTAAGAAATTATTGTCCATAGATGATCTCTAAATGGAAGTCCAACCTGCTTTCCTAGGAGTTCCACCTCAGACTTTATGCAAAACTCTGCCAACTGAGAAATTTCAGCTACTGCATTACACCAAAGCATTGCAAGTACAAAGCAAATGAGAACTCATTGAACTTAAACAGCACTTGAGTTCAGCAAACATTGAGATTGCTTTACCAACACTCAAAATACACTAAGTGCTTATTACATGATCTGCCTTTAAAACGTTAAAGTCTACATGTACCACTTCCACTTTTAAATGTCTGAAACAATTTCTGATTTATGAAGGCTACCATTAATTACCAAGTAATTATCTTTCAGACAGTGGCTTTTTCAGCTGTGTCCTCATAAATTGTCCTTGAGGTCTATGTTAGAGATTTCTTTTGAAGCAAACAGGCTGTAACTACAACGTTGTAATTATTCAGACCAAGCCAATGGGATCTCAAACAGGTTCAGCATTTCTTGCAGTTTCTTAATCCAAGCCTGATGTTTCTCCACTGGTACTACGTGAACGGAGTTTCAACGACTCACATCAATGAATTTTACATTAGCAGGTCTTGGCAGAAAGGCAAAGTCATCCCCTGCCCTCCCCTCTGCTCCCTGCAGCTACCTGTGCTGAGCGGGGTGCTGACGCTGGCCGGGGCGCGGCTGACGCGGGGGGTTTTACAGCCCACGTCCCTGCAGCAGTGCTCTTGCTCACAGGGGATACTGGACAAATCCTGAATATCTGTCACTGATCTGAAGTAGTGAAAGATGTTCTGACAGTTAGAATAGCCACTTACACCTGCTAATCACTAAATTCTGCTATTTTCAAGTTCTTTGCATTTTAATTCTGTTTAGCCTTACACAGTTTTCCAGAAGGAAGAAACATTCCCTCTGAAAATTTGACATAGAATTCTTGGAAGGCTAAAGATCACCACCTTCAATAATATTGCAGAGACAGAAAAAGTTAATTATTTGCTTTCTCTGCCTGTACAGGGTTTCTTAATTTGAATAATCCTCCTATAAAAGCAAGCTCACGAAACTGCCTCCACAAAGACTAAGAACTTCAAATGTGAGCAACTAGGTAGAAAATCTCTCCAAAGCCAAGGGAAGACCTCAAGGTTTAATAAAAATGAAGGATCCATTAATTAAAACTAAATGTAGGTGTTAGCAGCCTTTAAAATAATCACTTGGATTGAAGATCTGCACAGGCAATGACAACACTCAAGTTAGAACAATTCCTAAAGTGGCTGCAGGACTGTGACAATATTAAGCAAAGCAACATCTTCTGTAGACACACCCTGGATTACATTGTCCTCAGAAGATCATGAAATGACCAGATGTCTGTTAACAAACCAGTAATTTCTGTGCAAATCTCCATTATCTGTAAAAACTAACTCTACTAGTAAAGCCACAAAGCCATTCTGCAAGTTCTTCCTGAAAATCTCAATCATTACTTATTTTTTATTTAGCTACATATGAACCTTTTGCTCTCCAAAGTAGTTTTATTTTTTCTGTATAATATGGGCAGAAGAAAAAAGGAATCCTAACACTTTGATGTGAAGAAGCATACCTGGATTAACACTATGTTAATAACTTATGAATACAATAAATATTTCAAACTAAGGACAACTGTATGTGATGGCTTTTTTTTTTCATACCAATCTCCTAAGTTAACACAAGAAAATATTCTTTCAATCTTCAGATAGTTTTCTCTCTCTCAGCTCTGGTCTGTCTCATCTTCCTCTTTTACATCAACACAAAACTTTTACAATGATAACGACCAGCTGCTGAAGTTTTGGTATAAAATGGTCTGTGGCTCTTACACATCTTCTTTGTGTTCTTCCTGTGGCTCCCACAGTGTCACTGTTTGTGCTGCTTTAACACTGGAATGAAAGAAGAAAGGTTCTACTCAGATCCTCTCAGAGTTATGAAAATGTATTTAGTTTCCTCTCTCAGAAAGTTTGAAGGACTACCTTCTCTCAGAGGTAGACTGCAGCTCATAAAAAACTTTTTGCTTAAAACCTCTGAAGATGGAGAGTGCTAGGAGAAAATTTACAAAAATACTGGATATAAACACCTCGTGTTTGACAGATGAGACTGCAAGTCTCCAAGCATGGGCTAATGTTATCTGCAGGCAAGAATCAGTCAGTGTACTTGCATGGGACCATTCCCACAAGAGGGGAAAAGGCATGATCTTCATGCCACTTCAGCTCCAAAACCAAAGCACAACAAAATTAAAACAGATGACTGAAGCTTTAATTTGAATTATCCTTGCTCTGTTTAAGACTGTACTTTATCAATGTAAAAAGTATTGTAATACATTAAAAAAAAAAAACAACTGAACACTGTAAAAAACAAAACCCCATGAGACTTGTGAAAGCCCTATTAGTATTTTCTTGGCAGGGAGCTATGATATGTAGATTATCATTAAAAAACACCACTGGCATCTTATTTGAATATTAGATATAGAAGCAGAACTAATAAAGAGAGCACACTTTATAACCTAATTTATGCTTGAAGTAACGAAGACCATAACTCTATCTACCTGGCCACAGGCAAATGGCTGAGCTGCTTCACTCCTAGTGTGTTACTGCCAGAGTTCTGCACCGTGCTGCTGCAGGACACTCCTCTTCCTCCTGAATACAAACAACAAATGTTCCCCATTATTGGGTTTTGCAAGTACAACAGAAAGTGACAACTTACTGAACAGGAAACAGCAACTTTATTATAAATATTTTAGTTCTTGTGACCTTTGTTGTTGTCAAGAGACAAATGTGTTTTAAAGATGTATTTTCATACACGTACCACAGCTGCCAGACAGTCAACCACTGAAGCACTGGGGAATACTGCAACATTTACAAACCTGAGCCAAGAGGCAACAGACTAGAGAAGCAAGGATGATCCTTCCATTACTCTGCACACAAACAATATCAGCTCTTATGCTTTTTAAGCTCAAGATCCTTCTAGCTGTAAGAATATTAATGTGTAAATGCAACCCTAATTCAGTTTCCAGCACCAAAGCAAGTTGCATAAAAAGATTAAACTTAGCCCTAGGGTAAAAACAAAAAAGGTTGCAAGCCAGTTTTGTTTTGTTTCCTTTTGTTTTGTTTCACAGCAAACTCAACAACATTTCAGTGACTGCAATACCCAAGTTTATCTTCCAAAAATCTGAGTATTCTGAACTCTCACTAAAATAATGAGGTATAAAGGCCAAAAGACCCTGAAGAATCAAGCTCCAGCTTTCTGACAAGAGTACTGCTGACAAAAATATCAGCTCAAGAAGTCTCTGTCACCATGACTCAAAAGTACCTTCAAAAGAAAAAGCACGTTTACCTGAAGCCTGAGTATCTGATCCTGCATCTTCAGGTAATTGTTTCTGTAAAAAAACTTCAGAAGCATCTTCTAATTTGCCCCCAGTGTTTGAGGTCTGATGGGGAGGAAAAAAGGCAAGCTGTGAAAGGCAGGACAACTCTCCCAGGATGATGTTCACAACAATCAGAATGGAGAGACAAACTTTTAAAGAGCTTATCAGCAAACAGCATGGTTTGGATTGAACAGTCCATACAACAGTTTCAAATCTTCAATAAATGAATGAAGGTTTTTTTAAGACTACTGAATACTGTAATTCACAGAGCTGTGAAGGAAAGGCTGAGATTATCAACTGCCTAAAACTTGTCTCAACCACAGATTATGTAATTGCTTAGAAAACAAGTCATGAAAACATATCCCTGGTGTGTTTGGAGTGTGGGTGTTTGCAGAGTTTTAGCTGTTTGGGGTTTTGTTTTGGTGTTGTTTTTTTGGGGTTGGATTTGGTTTTGTTTGTTTGTTAGGGGGGTGTGTTTTCTATTTTTCACATCTTTTCTTCAAATCAAAGGGGAGCATAATCAAACCACCTGTTGTGTATCCTCCGTCCAAAGTTTTTGACACAAGTTTCACTCCTTTCTTTTCAGTTACTTTTACCTCTAGTTCTGAACTTCCCTGAGTGGCAGGAAGAAGGAAATAATCAGGAGTCAAGAATTCTTCAGACAGATCAGGAGATGACTTAAGGGAACAATGTAATTCCCTTGCATACCCCTGTGAAAGGCATCATCATTTGAGATGCTTCCTGCACTACTAAAGAGTATACATTTTAGACAATAATATTAAACAAAACTGCTTTGAATTTAAATATTTCATTTGATCACTCTGAGTTTCAACCTACCTATCTCCTGCATTACCTTGATGGTTTATAGACAACAAACAAAACAAAAAGGGGGAGAAGGAAAGGGGATTGTTAGATCACAACTGAAGAGTTCAGCTGCCCTGGTAGTTCAGTGTCCAACAGAGAGACCAGGCTAAACTGTTTTACAGATAACTAGCAGCAACTAGATCTCTTGGCTTACTATACATACTCTAGACAGATTCTCAGCTTGCTGAGGAAGGACTGAAGTCTTATGAACAGTTATTCCATACTCTGTTTGTTCATCTTGTGATGGTGACTGGCAACTTCTCTCTAGGATGTCAGAATGGAATAAAATTATTAGGCAAAAAATAATATGAAGTGAGTGATCTGAACCACTGATGGAATATCAATGAGAGCAGACAGTAAAACTACATTGTCTGTCAGGAACACAGAGAAATAGTGACATTTAAATGCTCACATCATTAATCAAGGCATGTGACACTTTCCTTGTCACTTTTCCCATAGCTATTACAAAAGCACTACTCACTACACTGCTACAGAAAAAGCATCTCTGTGGTCCACTGAATGAAATGAAGTGTGAAAGCATACTCAGGGACTGGAAAGCTCTGGGTCTCCCATGCTGATACATGGTAATCAATGGTGACAAAAGGACTCCAAGCTCACCAGACACGACCTCCACCTAGCTGAAATACTCATCTTTATGACGAGTCTATTCTATGTTCAGCAATGACTGAGTGACTGACCTGCTCTGGGGGCAAGACTCTGGAAGGTAAAATGGACAATTATTGTTACAAAATCACAGCAGCTGAAATCTGCTGGGCAACTGAGAGAGGCAAAAAAAGAATAAATTATTTTCTGTTTTTCAGCCTTACCTCCAGAACTTCTGAATGCATATTCCAGATCACTCTCCTCAGATTCAGATCTATCCTCACTGCCCAGCTCCCAAGGCTCAACATTACCCCCTGCCTGCCACCTATATTGTTGTCGGGTTTGACTTCTCTGGACTCTATCAGTGACATGTGGAAAGGCTTCCTTCATACTCTCTGCTTCACTTTCAGATGTACATTCAGTGGCTGAATATGGAGAGCTGAGCTCTAGTTGTCCTGAGGCCACTCTTCTGGCCATTTGCTTCACTTCAGCTACACAAAAAGAACAAAATCATCCATTCACACAATAGAATCCAGACCTTCAAAGCATTCCCTGCGTTTCACTGTGTGCAGGCTTGGAAATGCTGAATTTATAACCCGGAAAATCCTTTATGATGAAGAGTGCTAAACACTTCCTTCTGTTTTAAGGAAAGCTTAAAACCTGCGTAAATTGACAGGGACAAGTCTTCACATGAACCGTTTCTGTTAGTTTCTATCTCTGTTCCTCACGCCTGTACTGCCACCCACTGGTCACTGCTACCCCAGCTTTGCACACACACGCTGTCCCCTACACCCTCCACAGCAGGGCTAGAATCCTTCAGCTTTATAATCAAAGCATCTTAATGTGCTTGTGATTATTTTATGCCCTGAATGTGCAAGACACAAGATCCCACTCACTTGGTTTTCATCCAAGAACAGTCTAACGGAGCTTCAGCAATTAAGGCACACAGACTTTTCTTAAGTAAGAAAATGTGTTAAGTTCTAATGCACTGCACTGCAGTAACACTTGCTAACATTAATGCCAAGATAACACCGATTTACTTACTCCTCCATTCTGATTGCATCATCCTTCTCTTCTCACTTCTTTTTGTACCATAAATTTCAGATCTTGATTTTGCATAGCACCTGTAATAAATTGTTTTGAAATGCACCAAACTCTGTCACTACACAAGTGTTCTAAGTATTCCCCAGTCAGTAAAGGCCTCAAAGTTGGTTCAGTGTTAACTGAAAAGGCTGAGAGCACACATGTTCTAAGAACCCAGCAGAAGCAGCAGATTGAGCTGGTGGAAGCTTAGAAAGCACAGTTATTTAGGTCTATTACAGATTAACCAGACAAACTGTGCATTAAAATCTAGATTTCAAAAGCTGTCAACTGCCTTCAGATGATATTTCTACATAAACACTAACAGACAAGGAATGCTGTGTGGATGTGTTCTGCTCAGGTCAGTAAGGTGATCAGTGGACAACTGAAGACAAGCAGAACTTCAGACTTGGATAACAACCATCTTACCACCAGCCCAATGCCCTCCCAGAGTTCATTCACTTGACCACCTCACCACCTCAGCATCTGGCCTGTTTATGTTCTTGCCAAGTATGTCCTTTACCAACGGGTCTTACTGATCCAACCAGATCATGAATCAGCTTAATAGCTGCCATGGTTTTCCTGACTGATTTGACCCAAACGTTGGAGGAGGTGTCTGTCCCTGTCTTTCCAACTAATAAGATAGGTGAATTTGCAAAAGTTTTGCCAGGTACTTTTAGCATCCACTTTCCACCCACACTTAGAAATACAAAGAGATGACATTAAGAAGCACAGCAAGTACAACAAAGTGATGTACACTCTGTTGTCACTGGGTTATCAAGATTGTTCTGCTCCCACAGCCCCCAACATCAGTCCTAGTCCTATACCTATGAAAGCCAAAGTATTTCTACTGAGAACTGTATGAGGCTGTGCAGACAGAGGAGAAGCACCTTTACCAGTAACATATTAGGTTGCTCTCCTTAGGCACTGTTACCATTTCGGACCACTGACCTCCATCAGAGAGGCATCTGGAATCTGTTTGAACACCAGTCTTTAAGTAACTGCCCTGTTCCAGCAGTTGCCCTGCCAGCTCTGCAGCTGACAACTCACAGCAGGGTCCCAGCTGGACAGATGGGTTTTGGCTTACTGGAAAAAACCCCAAACATTTCATGCCATCCTCCAACTTGGACATGGACTTTTGACAGTGGCTGTATGAAGAGGAATTTGCTAGAATTAATGCTTCTGTGAATACTATCAAAACTCACCACCTCTCTTCTTCACTTTCACTTGCTGCAGAGTGTGAATCACCTCCTCCTTGACACTGCAAGTCCAGCTTTTTTTTGCACCTTACAGATACTTGTGGGAGTGAATGCTGAAACGAGTCCAACAAGCCATGATTCAGCACACATTGGGCATGCTGGTAATTACTATCTGAGCTGTCTAACAGATACAGTAAGATCTGGACTGTACAAACTTTATTCCCTAGGTTATAGTTTAGTAGCACTGCTCGTAAGAAAGGACCACTCCAGGTCTTATCCTAGGAACACCTCTACCCTGGATTTATAATAGATTTCATAGGTACACAGGCAGATGATCGTAACACGTAGATCCCAGGGGAATGAGTGGACTTAAATGACTCAAATTATTCCTACAGCAGATATATACATGAATTTCTCTCCTTCTCTTTGAGCTAAGCATTTCAACTACTTATATTTAATAGTGAACGTCATCTAGAAGTCCTTACTAATGACAACATAGACCTCCCTAAGGAAGTTTGCAAACACAAGTGTTTCTCCACTCACCCTTCTCCCTGACAGCCCCATCTCCATTTTAGTACAGGACTTCATTCCCTCCTGAGCCACTGGACTAGGATTTTGCTGGGGGGTGGGAGGAAAGAAGAAATAATATAAGAAATAGCATTGCACTGTTGAGCATTCATACTTTCATTCCTGTACCTATTATGCATATGGTACATACATGTATTTTAAAAAATAGATTCAACCCTCTTCTTGGACACCACCCATAACCTCATGTCTTTACCTGCTAAGGAATAGAGAAGTGATCACCACAGTCACCCTGCTCAACACCTTACCTCACAGTCTAGGCTCATTTGATCATCCAGGCTTTTCACCACACTGAAGCTGAGATCATGATGGTTGTTTTCATTTCTACTCTTAGTCATCTCATGAAGGCACTCCCACTTTTCATTCTGAATTGCCTCCATTTCTTTTGCTGTCTTTGAAACAGCTTGGAAACTGTCTCCAACCAACGCTCCTTGTGCCTGGCATCTTATCAGTGGTGGAATATAGTCTCTTGATGGTGGACCTACAGGCTTCCATAAAAAAATATTACCTCCAGAAAAAGGGTAATTGGTATTTTGGGAAGCATCATCAGATCTGTTCCAGTATCTTTCTTGAAAAATCTGCTTAGAATGTGCATTCATTTTGATTTCCTGCAGCAGCCTCTTTTGCTTTTCAGCAGCCTCTGATTTGTCCAGCTTCTCCTGGGTTCTGCACAGGGAAGCTGCTGCCTGCTGCAACATGCTTTGAGAAATCTTTAAATAAAGGACACATTTGCTGAGGTACTGATCACTTCGAGACAGACTGCTCATTCTTCTCCCTCCATCTCCATTCCTCTGTGCCAGCATGCAGACCTTAGAGGCCTCACTCATCCTGTCCCCCTCTCCCATGGTGTCTGCTGTACTTGACTCTGAAGAGTCACCTTCCTCACAAACTGGCTTTTCCTCACAGTGCACTCCAGGGGATGCAGGAGGATCTTCCTCCTTTTGCTGCCTTTTTTCATCCTTTAGAATCTGACCTAATCCAGCTCCTTCTTCCAGGAAGTCTTCAAGTTCTGAAAAACTGGCAAAGATCTCATTGATTTCAAAGCTACAGAGGCTGTCATCCACATCACTGACACTGAGGGCTGTCTGGAGCTCAGAAGATACATCATAATTTTTGTCTTGTGCAACTGGCTGTAGACTGGTGGATGCCTCTTGGTTCACTAAAGCACTAGTCTCCTCAGAAAAAAGAGAGGATCTTGGGGTGGTAGAGCTGTCTGAAAATTTTAAGTGATAAGCCATTAACAAACTAATCAAACACATTAATAAACATAATCAAGCACACTGCTTTCATAAGTTTAGGAGCTAACACCTTTTAGAGATTACAGAAGCAGCATTTAACACCTCTGCTGGAAAAAGCACGCCTGAAGTCCAAATGTTAACCAGACTTACAGTCTTGAGCTTACATTATTAACTAGGGTGGTAGCTAGAATCCAAAGCTAACTGCTTTCTATTTTCAAACCATGTCATGCAACCTGCAAGCACCCACATTTTACTTATATTAGACCTCTATGGACTGAGGAATGTGCTAAGTGAAGGACACAGGACACCTTGCCAGAAGGAACTCACCAGCCTCAGTTCTCTCTTTTCCCTGCAGTTCCTGTGTTCTCTTCTGGTGGCTAAAAGCTGATGCCAAACAGATGTTCACATCTGCAAAAACACGTCTTTGTACTTTTGACATTTCTTCAGCATGACCAGTTTGAGACTTAGTTAAGTCCTGTAATTCAAAAAATAGAACAAAACACAACTGTATTTGACAGCTCAATGTCTCTGCCTTCCCTTTGAAGGTGGTTTGCCTCCACGATCTCAAAAGGGAACTCAACTTTTCAACTGCCTCCCACTGAGATTTAAGCAAAACAACTTGAATCTGAGTGGACACAAAACTCTCCCCTTTTAAATACATGAAAGGCCACAACCCTGGAAGTCACCTTTAAGTCATTTCTCAGTATATACTGAATATCCTGAAGTTTTATGGAACGGTTCTTCTGTTTAGGTTCTAGACCTAACTTCACAATATCATAATAGGGCATAGGGAGTCTGGCATCTGCTTCCAGCTGTTGTCCTGAAATGATGAGCTGTTTAATAACTGAGTCTTCAAGGCCTTTCCAGGGAGGGGTCTCTGCAAGACAAATGTAGACTTTAAGTCACAAGCTGTCTATCAGTGTTAATGAAAATTCAACAAAAAGAGAACAGAATCAGAGACATTGAAGCATTATTTCCTGCACATTGCCTAATTTACAACTGCTGCCAAAAACCAAACGAGTTCCCAGTCCAGTCTGGCATCTCCTCCCCATCTTATTTCAACACTGGATGCTTTAAGGGGGCCAACAGCAATCTCTAGAGGACAGCTACAGAGTAAACCATGCTCTGGACTCTTCAATACCAACTAGCTAATAGAGGGTTTAATTTTTAGGTAATTGTTTATCCCATTTCACTGTCAAAACAGTCAAAGTCAGTACAGATAATGTCTTCTGTGTTATGTATTAACAGGAACAATATATTATCTGTAAGTTATCTTTGTGATCAAATAGATCACAGATCACAATGCACAAGCTCACCTTGCACAGAGCAAAGAGTGAACTGAATGTTTTGCTATCCTTGTATGAAGAAGAAAGATGAACAGCAGGAAAAAAACACACACACAAAATCGAATCTCTCTAATTCCAACCATTAATCTCCTCCTTTAGTTATGCAATTTTAAGTGTTTTGATTATATTTTACAAAAGTTTCCAGTAGTCTTTGCTATTGTCATTTGGGGGTTTTGCCTGAGGGTTCCTTTTCCAAGTTGACTCTGTGTGAGCCATCACAGGAGGGTTTTATCCAGTCACACAGGGGAATTACAGGCATCAGCAGGCTGACAGTCTACACTGAAAACATTCTATGGGTTGACAAAAGCCCAAACCTGTGGCTGTACCTGTCAAGGCCTCCTGCACCACCGTGCAGAAGCTATAAATATCTGATTTGACTGTGACAACTTTTTCAAGGATTACTTCAGGAGAGCACCACTTATGCAGCTGGACTGGGACAGGAATACGTGTCAGATCACTATGTTCTCCTCCATCTTTGCTGTAAAAATGGAAAAAAAAGGGTTGTAAATGAGGACATACAGCACACTCAACTAGAAGACCTCTCTTCTGGAATTAAACACCTGAGTTTGTTATATCTGCTTTTGGTTTAATTACCTAAGAGGTCCAGAGTATACCTACAAATAAAAATGGGTAGTATTTTCACACTGATAAATGTATTTTGGCACATTACAGCAAAGACTCTGTGGTGAAAGTAACACCTCCTTTAATAAATTTATACTCCAAAGGAAATCAGAGAAAGTTGAAAACTTCCCCCTAGGCATTTTAGGTCTAGCCAGTGCTCTGTGACCACGGACAAAATACAAGAAGGTGCCACCTAGCCTGCCAACACTTATTTTGCAATGTCTAACTGCATCTGGATCACTTCCTCCCCACATTTAATTGTAGGGGTTTTCGTTATATCATCTGCATTTGAAACAACCAAGAGATTGCTGAGATTTATCAACAATTTGAGTTTGCAAAGAGGTTAGGAACTATCTTTACTCCTTTCAGGACACCACCATTGGCAAATTTTTGTTTATTATCAATTTTACTCTCTTTCTTTACAGTCTAAGCAGCCATTTACTTCTTTTCTAATCAGACTGCACTACAGGAAAAAAATAAAAAAAGGAAGAAGTAATAATTTACCCAGATGAAATGAATGGTGTCTCTCAAAGAGGAAATACTCTTCTTGTAAGTGGTGGTGCTTAATTACTACCAGTTGAATGAAGTGTGCAATCTCCAGACATGTGAGGTAAGCCTCCATAAGCACAAGTTCAGTATAACAAGAGGAGATTTAAATTATTCCCAATCCAGTGGCAGAATTTGTGACTCTAAGTGGAATTTCATCTCTACTCTAGAAGAGTAGTTATTATTTCTCAATGATTGTATTTTGACACTCCAGCAAAGAGCTGCTTCTCTTACTACTATTTTCAGATACTTACAGAAACTAAGGCCACCTGACACTTGCTGTAGGGCCTGTGGCTCAGTTACTGTAGCTAAGCTGTAATGATTTAAAGTTCTTTACTCCTGTAATTCTGCTGCTTGAGTCAGAGGCAGGATTCCTTGGTCATCACGAGGGGCACTTCAGCAGAATTCAGGACTAACTTTTACATTACTCGTGTTTGTCTCTTTCCCAGAAACAGCGAGGGAGTTCTTTACCTCTCCACCACGAACTCCAAGTTGCAGAGCTTTGCCTCCCCCGGCGCCAGCAGCTGGACGGCGTGGGAGGAGAGGGAGCGGTGGAGCAGCCCGCGGGCATGCAGGAAGCGCAGCGCCTCGCCGGTCTGGAGCAGCACCTGCAGAACCGTCTGCAGCCGCAGCACGGGGAACTCCGCCCGCTGCAAAACACACAGGCACCCAGCTGGCACTGCCGCCCTCTGCAGCTTGAGGGACGGGGAAACTGCTCTCGTGTAGAGGCAACAGGAAACATAGTGTGCTATGCAAATATCCAAGGGCAAAAGGTGGTCTCGCCACAGTTACAGCAGATGAGCACATGCAGAAGATTAGAAGCTCAGCTGGATTTAGCAGCAGCCATTTTAAGACTGGCACCGAGCAAGAGAGTCAGTGCAACTGCACGGAAACATTAACTGAAGCATCTGCCAACTACAAACTTTACCAGCTTACAGGGAGTATCTGACTCTGGTGAAACAGAAACCTGAATACACAGACTGAGGGTTTTGTCTTCCTGGAGTAAAGATGGTAGATGCAGTTACCAAACTTCTCCCTCTCAAATAATTACTATTTGAAAACAAATATTCCAATTACCCTTTCATGAAGGATGCTGTAGAGAGAACCAAAATTAACCCTTTCATAGACTAAACGGGTTTTCTCCAAGTCACTAGACAGACAAACTGACATCAGCTGCAGCAAATGAGGATGACGGAGTTTACTGCAAAAGGAGAGGGAAAAAAATTGTGAGGCAAATCTGAGATTAAAAGAGAGACAGTCCTGGTCTTCTAGGTGTTTTTATCAAGACAATGTGAATGCTTCTATCTTTTAATTGAAATACCCCAAAATTTGAAAGAACCATAGATGAGGAGGCATTTAGGGAACAGTGCTTACTGCCACAACTAGGAGAATCTGTTAATGAGCCACCTGAGACATGTGCAGTGATGCTTTCATCCAGACATGTGAGAAGAGAGGATCATCTTCTCCTGCATCATCCACTGGGGAGCAAAGGGAGTGGGAAGAGACGGGAGAACAGACTGACCTGTGTCCCTCATCTGGGGAGGAAGTGCCACCACAGCCCAACAGGCTTCCCGAGGTTAATCACATTCCCCCACATCACTGGAGACAACCCAAATGCCAGGAGCACTTGTGGCTACTGCACATTCTTTCTTACCTGCTGTGTTCCTGCTCTGCAATGAGGAGATCAGCTAAGCGCAGTTTACTGCAGTTCTGGTGGGGCTCAAAGCTGAGTTCCTTCACTGTAACTCTGCTGCTTCCCCACATTAAGCTGCAAGGAGAAAGAAGAGGAATTTCTATAGGAGGCTTTCTGCAGTATATTTTTCCATTTACAGGGTTACTTACAAATGACTCTGTAACTCTAAATGCTCTGGTGCTGTCTCCTACTGTTGGTAACATCACTTTTATGATCTCTGGCTATAGTATATACTCTTTCCATCTGACAACAAATTCTCATACTGTTCTAAGACTGTATGTAGGACATAGTTTGCTGTCCAAAGAAGCTACCCTTCCAAGCCCCAAGGTAAAGAACAAGGACACTCTAAAACTCCTTTCACTAAGGGCCATCAGCCCATCACAACACAAGAGCTCTGGGAATATTAAATCATCAATTGGCCCATCACGACACAAGCCAGAGCTCTGGGAATATTAAATCATCAATTTGTCAGTTCTCTGGATGCCTCTGAGGCACAACTACTTGCTACACAATACAGAAAACAAAGACAAGGCTCAGTCTGCACTTGCAACTCTCATTTCACCACTGGTTTGAGCAAGTGGGCTGCAGACATGCATACCCAGAGGCCTGAGGTCTGACCCAACAATTACAAGGGCTAAACACTGAACAAGGTCATCTGTGCAACATCAGCAACCTGCTTCCCACCACAAAAGGAATCAGTACTGGAACACTGCTGTCCATGAACAACCCTAACTGGATTAATATTGCTGGAAAGGACATGTATATATGAAGGGAATCTAAAGAAGATATTTATCAGTGGACTGCAGAAGACACGTTGCAAGCAGAAAGCAGTGGATGAATATAGACTAGACAACATTATCCAAATAAAGCAGATGCTACAACAACTTGCTGCTTGATAGTAGCAGATACACACTAAGAAGGGCTAAAACCCCTTTGATTCCACTTACTTTGTCATGATCATGTATGGTCCAACACTGTATGAAAATGCTGGTTCATCATCTGCCTGAAACACATCTTTTTCCTGAATAATTGGGATTGATGCCAAGTACCCTAGATGCCCAATGCCTGCAAGATAAAACTGAAACAACACCAGGCATAACCCAAAGGAATGTGCAATGGCTCCCAAAATTCATCACATCTGCCACAAACTCCCTGAAAACGTGAGTGTAATTACTGCAACAGGAGCATCAGCCAAAGCATCAAAATTACATGTTAAGGTATCTATGGCAAAAGCTTAACTTAGTGAAGCTGAAACAGAGAAAGCAGAGACAGCCTTTAAGAGTTCCCACAGGTGACTTTTAGCAGGAGAGTTGCTCTTGTCTGTTCCAGAACAGCTCCCTCTGACAGGCTGAAGGCCTGAATATTTGTGCTCTCCACAGGTTTTTTTCCCACCATTTCAGTAGAAATGCACTAAAAATGAAATGTAATACAGGAGGGACAATTCCCATGAAGAATATGTGACTTTGACAAACTGTACTAATATTAGAAAACCCATTATCCAAACCACCTTACCTTCCCAAAACCAAAGCTGTAAATGTTCTTGGCTGTGTTAGCTTCACGTTTTAGCAATCTACCCAGTGGACTCTCAGCATTTCTAAGTAGCAAAACCAAAAGCAATATGAGTAACTAATATGCCAAGGCTTTGTATAACATACAAACTGAGAGAGAGAGAAGTGCAGGAATTCTGCAAGAGCCACCTATTTCAGATGTTGCATTTGACTGGCCCCACAGATGCTGAAATTACAAATTATTGTGCAACTCATTAAAACTTTTTAGACACACCACTGTGATATGTATTTGTTTAAACCAAGACAGCCAATTTAAAAAAAAAATATATATACAAGCATTCTGCATTGCTTTTTGTTCACAAGTATGTATATTTCCTAACAGGTATCTGACATAAAAGCTCTTGAAATGGCTGGAAACACTCCTGAAAGATTTGCAGTGACCTTAAAAGGTCAAAAAACAACCCACTTAATGTTACTGCTGCTTTAATACTATTAAAATCCAGTACTTCATATTGCTGATTTCAAGAGCACCTCTTAAGATATGGATGTTTACAACTATCAAGTTTCTATATGGACCTCTCACAACAGAAATAAAAAGTATCATCAGTCCTAACACACACATTGGTTTTACATCTGATATTCTCCATGAAAAAAAAAAAAAAGGAATATGTTAATGTTAAGAGAACAGAATCTGGAAGTGTAAATCCTTGTAGCTCAATTCCTTGGTACTTAAGAATATATTCCTACCCTTGAACAAGGCCACCAAACCTAGATGGACTGCAGACCAGCTCTTTTGATGAGTCAACTCTCCTGAGTAGATCAGAGGGAAAGTTCTGAATGGCAGCCTGCATGTGGAAGGTACAGCGCTGGATGAACTCCAGCATCTGCAGGAGGGAGAGGGGAAAAGCAATGTCAGCAATTGCTTCAGAACTACAAGATAAACCACTTCAAATGAAAAGATCACGAGTACAGGAAAACTAACAAATTACTTGCAGTATTCCAATAGGCTTTTCAAGAAATGGATACACAGAAAATCTTGAAGAAAATCAATTACATGAAAATGTAAGAGAAAGTTTACTTTGAACAGCAGATGACTAATTTTGAAGACGTTGACCAACTGAAAATTATAATATCAAGGTTCTTCTTAAGAGGAGCACTGTAGTAACAGGCAAGAGGAATATTGTGAGTTTTAAATCAATGCTGCCTTAAATAAAGCCTTCTGGATATCACATTTTGCCACCATGCTAGCAAAAATGACACATTTGTTGACACTTTTCATGTACAGACTGAGATACACCTGAAAACTACTTCAGGTTTACTCCTGAATTGCACACACATGCAAACAAGCTACGTACATCCAGGATTGAAGGCAAGGGCCTGTCATTTGCCTTGCTGCACACTCACACACAAAGGTTCCAAGTTACAGACAGGCACACCCCTGTGCATGAGCAAAACCTTAAATAATCTGAATCATGAGGACTTCAAAATACCACTACTGACATTGAAAAATAATGTTAAATAGTTTTTTCTAACATGTAAAAGCCAAGAAATTCTTCCTGGAATGCTTCTTCACTTTAAGATGCAGATGTGATTGCACATCTAGCATGTATTCAACACGTGCCACACACACATACCTGAGCACTGCTTTCTTTGCCAGCTGACATAGCCCAGTACTGAGGAGTTTTTCCACCTTCATCATGTACCCTCAGATCACCTCCTGCATCCAGTAACTTGCTAAGAATCCACTGATCTCCTGAGAAGGCAGCTGCATGGACCGGGGTGCTCCCATCGTAACAGCGACTGAGGAATGTTAAAGCAGAAATATTTCACCCTACCCCTCCACTCCACCAGCTGTGCTTCTGGGGAAAAAAGCAGCATACCCAGAATATTTATCATCTCCCAAACAACAACACAGACCATGAAAAGAGGAAAATTAGGCATGTGCTTACCTCTGAAGATCTTTGGCTAAAATAGCCAAACCAGCCATCTTAAGCACTTCTTCATTTATATACAGTGAATATTGTGTATTACATTGATTAAAATCATTAAAGATAAAACATTAATTTCAATTAAAAAAAAATACTTAACTGATTAGCAGCTGAGCCATAATCCAACAGCACATCCACTATTTTACCAAGACCTAGCAATGCAGCGAAGAAGAGAGAAGTTTGGCCCATGGAATTTACAGCATCAACAAAAACACCTACAAGGAAACAAACGAGTATAAGGTGAGTGCTTGTTCCCCACTCAAATTAAAGGGAACAGTTCACTTAAAACAACTGCCATATTCCATCCCAGATACGGGAAGAATTGAAACAATGACATTAACAGAAACTGAAAAAAAAGAGCAAAGGATCTTCCTATTAACTTTCTATACATACCATGTGCTGCTTGTCCACAATGTTTTCAAATAAAAGATATATAAATACCAGAGGCAAAGTATTAACCAGGATGAGCAAGATAACACCAGAGGACGACGTTAATAAAAAAAAACTTCTCTAAAGCAACAATTAGGAGAGAGGCAAATATTTTGTTACTTTAACCAATTTTATTCAAACTAATATATTGTATTCTGCATCCATAAAAAAAAGTCATAGCATCAAAGGATATGGATCTCAAATCACAATGGCTTGAGAGTTCAGGCACTTTCAGCAGATCTATTTTTGGAACCACAGAATATAAAAAGTGCCACAAACTACTCGGACATGCTAACTCCCCTGTCCTCTGGTGACAGGGCGTGAGGGATTTAAAATCAAAGAGGGAGCTTTCGACTAGAGGGAGGGAGGAAATGTTTCACACTGGGGGTGGTGGGACACTGGCCCAGGCTGCCCAGAGAGGTGGTCGCTGCCCCAACCCTGGAACCATTCCAGGTGAGGCTGGGGGGGCTCTGAGCAACCTGCTCTCGTTACACATGTCCCTCTAGCCTGCTTGCAGGGGTCTAAACTAGATGATCTGGAAAGGTCCCTTCCAACA